GGCCTGGGACATCACATGGGCCGTGGTTGCTGCTGCTGTTGGTCAGTATTTGTGTGCTGAATCTAGTGATTCCGGCTTAGGAAACCAGCTAAAAATGCCCTGTTGCATCCAACAGAGATTAAAATATTAGTCCCTTGGATGCTCTCCTTTGGCTCTCCAAAACTGTTGACGATCATTAGCGGTAACTGTAGTGGAAGAGGAAAGTGGTCAGCCTCTACAACGTAAAAAAAGATCTTCTATCCTTACAATAATGGAGGCTCCAGGGGTGGCAAAGAAAACTTGATGTAGAATTGTTCTTGTCAGTGAAATCCTTCCCGCTGTTATTTGTTGCCAGACTGTGGATTCTGGATTTTGAAGTTCTAAGCGGTCCAATGTGGTGGACATGGAGGTTTTCAACGTATTTACAATGAGGCAGTTTGGAAAAGTTGTTTGAAAATCTCTCACTTACCCTTCTTAGAAATGTTTAAAAAATCTTTAGGCCTAATTGAAGTATTCAGTATCTTTATTTTTTGTCTAGAATTTTATCAACACACGAAGATCACATACCAACAACCCTGGGAATTGTGAATGTTTAATAAAATCATGAAGATAGACTAAGGACAATTTGTGTGACAAAATGTGTCATAGCTTGTTTCACGAGAGAAACAGTAATGGTTATTTTTATTTATTTATTTATTTTGGAGAATAGTAGTGGGACCTTAGTTGGAATCCCAGCTCTAACATTTGTCAATTAACTACATGACCTTGGAAAAAATACCTAATTTCTCTGGCTTCAGTTGTCCTGAATAATGGTGCCTGTCCTAGAATTGTACTGAGGATTCTCTGAGTTAATGTGTGTAGGGTGCTTTGAACAGCTCCTGGAATGTGGCACGCTTGCTCGATTGAGTATTTATTGTGTGTTAAGTGCGTTGGAAGACAGAACAGTAGGGATTCAGGGCCAGTTATTAACCTCTTCTGAGCCTCAATTTCCAGATCTGTTCAAGGAAAATACTTCTATCTTCCTTGGTAGGATTGTATGAGGATTAAATGCATATGTTCCCAGGAAGCCCTTGGGACAATGTTGGTTTCGCAGGGAGCGTCCAGCTAATGTCATTCCCTGCAGTTCAGGTATTTTAATTTGCTGGATTTCACAGCAGACCTGTAACATATGTGTATATATATCTGTTTTAAACAGCTGGAAAGGAGACTGGTTCAGAGATGTGGTGGTGACCTGCTCAAGGTTGCATGGTAGAGTTTGACTTCAGATCTCAGGTGTAAACATCAGGAATAACTAACCTATAGACCCTATTGCTTTCTCTTGCCTCTTTTTGGTTTTGAAAATATGTCCCTAATGTTTTGTGATTAATGTATTTAATTTTAAGTCTGTTTTATGGAACTTTATCACACTCTTCCTTGTGAAAGTCCTAATGAATGCTTTTTGTGTAAATTAATTTTAGCATTCATTCCAAGTGTGGAGGGTTTCAGTTCTTTATTTTGCAGCAGGAAAAGTGGGTATGTCTCAAGACATCTTTGAGAGCTTTACGTATCCAAGAAGCTAATTGAACAGGAAGAGTGCATGCAGTTCTCCTAATGCATGTCATATTGTTCTTGTAGGAAAAGTGGATTCAGAATTTTTATTTTCTAGTTGATGAAATAATAGGTTTTGTACGGACTCCTGAAACCACCAATGCCCTGTAATGGGGAGGGAATATATAAAAATGACAATGATAACCATATGTGGGATGGTTTGTTTTTCTCAATTCCAAATTCTCTTAACTGCTGTAATTTAAAATAAATGTATTAACAGTGATTTCTGAAATTATTCCTTGCTATTGCACAGAATAGACTACCTTAAGCTATTTCTTTTGCTAGATTATAGGGAGTCATTTTTTTTATTTCCAGTTTTATTGAGATAAAATTGAAATACAAAGAGAACAAGGGACTTTTCTATATGTGATTTCCTTTTCAGGTACACAGTGGAATCAAGTATTGTGTATAAATCGTGTATGTATACTTAACTGCTTCTTTGACTATTGGCAAAATTTAAGACATGCCTCTCTAGCTTGGCATTACAAGAAACAATATGCCTTGGGGTGCCTGGGTGGTTTAGTTGGTTGAGAGTGCGACTCTTGGTTTCAGTTCAGTTCTTGATCTCAGGGTCCTGAGAGCAAGCCCTGCATCGGGCTCTGCATTCAGTGGGGAGTTGGCTTAAGGATTTCTCTCCCTCTCCCTCCACACCCCTTCCCATGCTCATGCTCTTGGGGGGGGGAGAAAAAAAGAAAGAAAGAATTTGCCTCATTAATACAAAATTGTATAGTATTTTTATATATAGGAAGCTGGTAGAAGGTGTCATTCTTCCTTCACCATTGTCTTGAATGCCCTCATGTAGTATTTGCCCCATAAACACAATGAATAGCCGTCAGTTCTGGGTGCCTGCTGGAAGCTTTACTGCAGAAGGCCTGGAAAGGTATATGAAGTGTCCTGTGCTGTGCACGGCTTATGTTGTAGATACTCCCATTTCCACTTTCTTCCTCCTGTGAACAGTGGGATGCTTGAGGGACAAAGGGGTCCCCCAGAAAGTACCCATGTTTGCACACCACGAACAATTAGCTAAACTTGGTATTGTACCAAGCAGTGTTTCTTTCCTGTATTTAAATTGTATTCTTTTCTCTTTTCCTTCATGCTTATAGTCCTTATTCTTGGGTTTATCCTGAAACAATCAATTGAAAACAATTGAAAACAAACAATTGAAGAAAGATCAGAAGCCTTGAATTTGCCAGTGGGAGCAGACTGATTTTGACACTTGATTTAGCTAATGCTGAACTATGTCTGTTTTGTTCCATTTTGGAGGAGAAATGTAGGAGCATCTGTCTTTCTAGATTTCAGAACCCATCGGGGCTGCTTGAGTAGTGGCACCAGGCCTTTCATGAGATCATCCTACCTTTGATACACATATATGACTGCTTTTCTCCTCTGTTGAAGATATTAACATAAATCCGTAAGTCCAAATACAGTTTGGAAGTTTCTTTCCACACTTAGGAAAATAGCAACCAGATTTTAAACTCTGGTTTGTCTGTTGATACTTGTTTTGAATTGCTTTTGGTGTTGTTTTGCATTTTTTTAATGGGCTATTTTTTAGAGCAGTTTTAGGTTTACAGCAAAAGTGAGAAAGTAGAGTGAGTTCCCGTATACCCACCCCCCAACCAAGCACAACCTTTCGTATCAATACCCCTCACCAGAGTGGTACATTTGTTATAGTTGAAAGACCTACTATGACACATTGTCACTCAAAGTTCATAGTTTACAGTAGGGTTCTACTTCTGTGGGTTTTGACAGATGTATACTTACCCACTGTTATAGTATCATATCATTTCACTGCCCAAAAAGTCCCCTCTTGCCTTCATTTCCCCTCAGCCCACCCTCACCCATAACTCCTGGCAACACTGGTGTGTTTATCGTCTCCATAGTTTTTCTTTTTCCAGAACGTCATATAGTTGGAATCATGCAGTAAGTAGCATTTTCAGATTGGCTTCTTTTACTTCGTAATATGCATTTAAGTTTCTTCCATGTCTTTTCATGGCTTGGTGAGTTCATTCCGTTTTAGTGCATTCATTGTCTGGTTGTACCAATTTATCCATTCATCTGCTGAAGGACATCTTAGTTGTTTCTGAGTCTTGGCAGTTAAGAATAAGGCTGCTTTAAATACCCGGGCGGGTTTTTGTTTGGACATAGGTTTCAGTTCGTTTGGGTAACTGCCAAGGAGCACAGTTTCTGGATTGTGTGGTAAGTGTGTGTGTGGTTGTGCAAGAAGTGGTCTGGCAAGACTGTCTTCCAGAATGTCTACACCATTTGCATTCCCATCAGCAGCAAACGAGAGTTCCTGTTTCTCCACATCCTCACCCGCAGCTGGCGGTGTCAGTGTTTTGGATTTTGGCCGTTTCCCTGATGACATGATGTGGAGTATCATTTTATGTGCTTGTTGTTCATTTGTATATCTTCTTTGGTGAGGTTTCTGTTCAGGTCTTTGGCCCATTTTTTTAAAAAGATGGGGCTATTTGTTTTCTTACCGCTGAGTTTTAAGAGCTCTTCGTGTGTCTTAGATCTAACAGTCCTTTTTCAGATATGCCTTTTGCAAATATTTTCTTCTGGTCTGTGGCTTATCTATTCGTTCTCTTGAGAATTATTTTGTTTTGAATAACAAAGTATTGCTTGGATGAGATACATGTATAAAAGCCCTTAATCATTGCCACTTTTGTATGGTTATAAAGGTGACCTAATAGATTTGGCTTAAAAAAAAGTTGAAGCAATTAAACACATTTTGATAATTATTCCTTGGGGTCTGACAAGTGAGCAAGACTTGTAGAGATCCTCTAAGGAGCTGTGTTGTGGTGATCACAGATACATTCTTCTATGTTCTTAGAGGCAAGCACTGTCCCAGTGTTGTGTAAATGTGTACTTGGAGTTCACATGAAACTTCTTGACTGCATTCCAGATGGGATCAAAAAGCGCTGTTTCTCAAACCACAACAGTGGGAGTAAAGCTGATGTATTCAGGAGTACCTTGTGGCATGACTGAGAAGGTGGCATTGGTGACTCTAGGGATAAAGATGCATACGAAATCTGAAATAAAAGGGTTTTTGACATGTTAAAGATGAGAGTGGTAGTATTTAGAGTGATTTTGTTTGTTCCCAAATTCTTCTTATTGTTACTTGTTAGTTGAGGTCACCTGTTTTTCGCAGTTGCTTGATTTTGACATCAGTGGCACATTCTCAGAATTTATTCTTCGTCACTAGGTAATGGGACGTGATGCTTAAAGACCTCTTGTACGTGGCATATTATGTGTTGAGAGTAGACCAGCAGACCTCAGGAAAGTTGACTGGGGAGGCACAGGATTCAGAGCCCACTTTTATACTTCTTTTTGAAGTCTCCTTTTGGGGCGTTAAATTTTCTTCATTAAGATACCCTTTGGAGAACTTTAAATTGTTGAATCAAACATTTAATTGTACTTTCTTTGTTGTATAGGATATTGTACCTGTGGATGCCTCTTACGAAGTAAAAGAATTATATGTGCCAGAAAATAAACTCCATCTGGCAAAGACAGATGCAGAGACATTACCAGCATTGAAAATTAATAAAGTAAGTGCTTTGTTGCTTTTCATGTCAAGTGATTTAGCCTTACATATAGTCATTATCTATAAATCTTGTTTAATAACTATGTTTAAGGGCATGGTGGTAGGGGGTATAGTTGTAATTTATTTCACAATTTCCAGGGATGGGAAATGTATTTAATTTGTGAAGCCATATTCCCAAAATACCATGGCTTTGATTTGGTTTTAGTCATAATATGTACTTTTTTTTTAAGTGGGGGGGAGGGGCAGAGGGAAAGGGAGAGCAAAAATCCTTAGGCAGTCTCCATGTCCAGCACATAGCCTGATGCTGGGCTCCATTTCATGACTCTGAGATCATGACCAGAGCCGAAATCAAGAGTAGGAGGCTTATCCGACTGAGCCACCCAGGTGCCCCAGTATTTACCTATTTTGAAACAGCAGACCAAAGATTATATAAAAGTTTTCGGCTTAGGGGCACCTGGGTGGCTCAGTGGGTTAAGCCTCTGCCTTCGGCTCAGGTCATGATCTCAGGGTCCTGGGATCGAGCCCCGCATCGGGCTGTCTGCTCGGCGGGGAGCCTGCTTCCTCCTCTCTGTCTGCCTGTCTCTCTGCCTACTTGTGATCTCTGTCTGTCAAATTAATAAATAAAATCTTTAATAATAAAAGTTTTCAGTTTACCAGAAAGAATGGGTTTTTAATGCTTCAGAATAAGTACAATAATTAAATTTTTTAAATTAAATTTATTTATTTTCAATTATTTTTTTAATTTTAAAATAATTTATTTTACTATTTTTGAATTAAAATAAATAATAATTAAGAGTAATTCTGTATATGTCAGCTCTAATAACATTGAGTGTCCCCCTCCCCAACTCCTTCCCCCCATCAAAAAAACTACTCAGCTAAACTGGGTATGATGACAATGGAAACTATAATTTATCATCTTGAAATATTAGAGCATTTTAAACTGTATCATTTGGATGTACTTTAAAAATGGGGAGATTAGGGGCGCCTGGGTGGCTCAGTGGGTTAAAGCCTCTGTCTTTGGCTCAGGTCATGATCCGGGGGTCCTGGGATCGAGCCCCGCATCAGGCTCTCTGCTCAGCAGGGAGCCTGCTTCCCCCCCTCTCTCTGCCTGCCTCTCTGCCTACTTGTGATCTTTATCTGTCAAATAAAAAAAAAAAAAATGGGGAGATTTAGGACTGAGAACCTGGATCAGAAGTTGACTTTCCTAGCCTTTCTTTTAGTTAGTAAAAATCAGGGAAGCACCAAGTCTTAAATTAGGGGAGGAAAAGAAAACAAACAAACAAACAAACAAACAGAAAAAACACCTAGCAACAAACTTCTGGGCTTAGAGAAAGCCTCTTTAAGTAGTTATTCAAATCCCCGATTAGGAGTAGATTACTTGATGCACTTTGTGTGGTTGGGTCTGATCAGAAGTTAAGACATGCTGGGGGAGCAGAGGGGGAGAGTTGGAGACCAGAGGCCCTCAGAAAGGTGACTGTTGCAAGGGAACAGATGTTGTCACTGATATACTTTGCATCGAATGAACCCACACACACAGGGCTAGAGAGAGAATATGAGAATGAATGAATATGAATCCAGGTCAGTCAGACTCTACAACCCAGAAACACAGTAGCTTTTTTAATATTGTGGTTTGTTCTTTGCATGGCAGGATGAAAACTAATTAATTAAAAAAATTCATCTTAAGTCAGTAGTGTATTAGCGTGGGCTGCCATAACAAATACCGTAGACCAGAAGGCTTAAGCAAAAAAAATGACTCTGCTAACTGTTCTGGGGGTTGGAAAGTCTAAGATCAAGGTGCTGGCTGATGCGGTTGCTGGTGAGACTGTCTTTCTGGCTCGCTGACAGCCCTCACTCTCTGTGTCGTCATAAAGTGGAGAGAGGGAGCTCTGGTGGTGTCTTTCCTCTCCCTGTGAGGGCACCAGATCTGTTGGAGTAGGGCCCCACCCTTAATGACTTCATTTAACCATGTCCTGTCCTCATAGGCCAGGACTCCAAATAGAGTCACACTGGGGATTAGGCCTTCAATATAGGAATTCGAGGGGGGCACAGACATTCAGTTTCTAACATAATACCATCTAGAATTGGATTTCGGTGGGGACAGATAATGGCCATGTCTGAGGGTTAGGAATAATTGATGAGAGGAAAGCCTGAAAGTAGGTGACACTATTTGGTCTATGCAGATGATTGTTCCTGTGACTGGAAGGAAGGAGGGGGAATACCTGTTATTTGATTGTGAAATGAAACACATCAGCCGGCATACTTAGGGAATAAATAGTAAGCTACATTTTACTGCACACCCCTTGGCCAGTTGCTTTATCTTTTCTCGTTTGAGAAACACGTGCACAGTACGTGTGCACACACGCAGTTAAAAAATGAGCACATCTAGCTTGCCTTGATACATAGTCCACCAACTCCTTAACATTCTGGTGGGAGATGCTACAAGTCTTGAAGATCAAGAAGTCATATAGTCTTTGTAAAATGAGGGGTGCTCTGACATTGGTGAGGCACTTGTTCTGATAAATATATTTTTTTAAGATTTTATTTATTTATTTGACAGATCACAAGTAGGCAGAGAGTCAGGCAGAGAGAGAGAGGGGAAGCAGGCTCCCCACTGAGCAGAGAGCCCGATGTGGGACTCGATCCCAGGACCCTGAGATCATGACCTGAGCTGAAGGCAGAGGCTTAACCCACTGAGCCACTCAGGCACCCCATTGATAAATATTTTTATGTAAAGTTTGCTTTAGTTTGAGGCAGTAGTTATCAAAGTCTAATTTCCAGACCATCACTGTTAGGATTTTCTGGGAACCTATTAAAAATACAAATTCTTGGGCCCCACAGCAAAGTGATTGAAATAGAATCTCTGGAGGTGGAACAATCTTTATTTTAATAAAGGCCTTCCCGGGGTTTCTTATAACACATTAAAGCTCGAGAACCACTAGTGGAGGAGATGCTATTCCTATTAGAAATGATTTGAAGCCTAATGTTATTTACATTCATTAGGAGAAATGCACATTTTCCTAGTGCCCTTAATCTTTATTAGATTTGTATAATCTATAATCATTCTTGAGGTGTTTGTTTCCATTGCTTTCAAAATTAAACTTCTAAAGGTTATTGCTGCTTTTGTTCCTAAGTGTATGAAGTAAAAAACTTTCCTTTCCTGTCTCATTTGCTAGGTGGATATGCAGTGGGTGCAGGTTTTGGCAGAAGGGTGGGCGACCCCACTGAATGGCTTTATGAGAGAGAGGGAGTATTTGCAGTGCCTTCACTTTGATTGTCTTCTGGACGGTAAGACTGTTTACTTCTCTAGTACATCGAGCCTGGAAGAGAAATGACGCAGATTCATCACCATTGATAAAAACAGTGGTGATGTCTTTAATGGAGGTAGCATTTTAAGACTAAGTTACATCAGTACTGAATACCCTGAGCAAACCATGAAATCTTTTCTTTCCCCATTTTGTTTTCCTGCATGTCATTTATTGCAGAGAGAAGGAAAACCTGGGGATTGGGGCTGAGAGTGGATTTAAAAAGTGAATATAGTTTCCCTGTGCTGTATCCACTGGAGCACCTTGCTAAGTCTGTCTCTGAAAAGTGTACATCTGTACTGAATTTTGCTCTACTGAAATCCATGCTTGAGTGTTCTAATAAGGGATCGGGGAGTCCAAGTTAAGGAGTCCTGAAACAGATGGTTAAAGGGATCATTCTTCTTTTAAAACACTGAAAAAGGAAAAGGTGCCAAAGAAATTGATGTTTAGTATATTGTAATGACAGTTCAGCTACCTGAACCTTTGTGTACTTTTGGTAAAATTAATTTATTACATTAAAGAAAATATTTTTAAATGTCACAGAGCCCTACTAAATTGCTACCATGTTCTTCTTTGTTATGATTTCTTTTAACTAAGGAGTGAAATTGATAATAGAAATTATAACTCCTAGTCATTTTTCTTAAATTTTATCATATAAAAGTGTTAAATACTGCTTTTTGGTTTTTCTTCTTTAGAACCAATGGTAAAGTCTTTGTGGACTGCCTTCTTAGTAGTCATTTAGTCTGGGTTTGGTACAAATCTACCTTTAAACTGTACCTATTGGTAACTTTAAAGCAGCCAACCAGTTATCATTAATTTCATTGACATCTTTTGTCTAAAGAAGGCATGCCGTGATTTCCAAAAGAATATGCTTTTACTAGGTATGTAAATAAGATCCACATATGAATTTGAGAGTGCTTTTTTTTTTTTTTTTTTTTCCTAACCTGGGGACAACGATTAGAAAAAACATTTAGAGCTTGAAAGGTTAGAAACTGAGAATGTGCTTTTGTCTCACTGATCATACATTTTGGTTCAAATTGATTACTTCCTTTGTTTCTTAGCCAGTAATTGCTGACATTGGTTCAATTCTGATTAAAAACCAAGAAATAAAAATACCTTTTGGGTGTTTTTGTCTTCCTGTCTCAAGGAAACCCAAGTATACTCAAGTACACTTGCCACTCACAATATATTTACTGGAAAGGTTTCCATGTTCCTGGAAAGGCCTGGAAACATCGTTCTTTGTCTTTGATATATTGGAGGTATTCAGTATATTTGGGGTGACATTAGGTGTAATCATCTGATTCTTCCTTGTTAAAGAGTTTCTTTTACTAATGTGGTTTTATGACCATTTTTTTCTTCCCAAAGACAGTTTCATGAATCGTGAGAAGTATGTTGCTACACAGTGTTGCTGCTCTTAATGTTTGCTATTTTTTTATTTTTTATTTTTTAACCTCTGTGGGTGGGTTGTTCTCTCCTGATTTTCTTTGGCAGGTACTGTCACTGGACCCATAAATCTTGTATTATTTGAAGAGTGTCCTTTGGAGTGAAAGGTGGCTGTGAGGCCTGTTGAGTAATGCAAACTGTGTGCTTTCTGTTCTTTTGTGCCCTGCAGGGGGTATCATTAACTTGTCAGTGCCTATAGTTCTGCCGGCTACTCATGAAGATAAAGAGAGGCTGGACGGCTGTACGGCATTTGCTCTGATGTACGAGGGCCGCCGTGTGGCCATTCTTCGCAACCCAGAGTTTTTTGAGCACAGGAAGGAGGAACGCTGTGCCAGACAGTGGGGAACAACATGCAAGAACCACCCTTACATCAAGGTCCTTAGTACACCTTGCATTTTATCTCCATGTGCGGATACTGTGTGTGTTAAAGTGTGGGCATTACCTGTATCTCTACGATTCCTTTGGGATTGTTGATATTTTGCAGAATGGACACTGGATCTTAGATTAGTGTGATGAACACATGACCTTGTCATTTTGGTCTGGATAATATTTGTTCAGTAAATCTTTTTTTTTCTTATGAGGTAAAAAGGGGATGACTGAGGGAGAGGGAAAAAATCCCAAGCAGGCTCCACGCCCAGCACAGAGCCCAATGTGGGGCTCGTTCTCACGACCCTGAGATCATGACCTGAGCTGAAATCAAGAGTTGGATGCTTAACTGACTGAGCCACCCAGGCGCCCCTAGTAAATCTTTTTTAAACATCTTCTATACATTAGCTCCTGAGTAAGGTACTGGTTCCGGGAATATAGGGCTGATGTAATGGTGGACACAGTCTCTGTATGGTTGGAGCTTACTGTCTGGTGGGGAGCAGACATCATGTTCTATAGGTAGGCTGTGAGGGCAGGGTGCTGTGGGAGCCTACGGCAGGGTGATTGGGGTTTTAATTGATTGGGGTTTTAAGTGAAAGCAGTGAAATCCAGTTAGTCTTTCCAAAGGGCCTCATGTATTTTATGTGTTGTATATCAAATGTCATCACTGAAGTAAAATTTCTGTCATTTGTTTTAAAGTATACTTTGAGCTTTAAAAGAAATTAAGTGAAATTTTAGTAGGTTTGTCTAGACAATTTTTTTTTTTAAAGATTTTATTTATTTATTTGTCAGAGAGAGAGGAGCTAGAGCGAGCACAGGCAGACAGAGTGGCAGGCAGAGGCAGAGGGAGAGGGAGAAGCAGGCTCCCTGCCAAGCAAAGAGCCCGATGTGGGACTCGACCCCAGGACACCAGGATCATGACCTGAGCCGAAGGCAGCTGCTCAACCAATTGAGCCACCCAGGCGTCCCTGTCTAGACAATTTTTAAGACATCTGTTTAGGTCATGTCAGTGTGCTAAATCTTGTCTCATGAAGAATAAAAAGTGATAAACTTTTTAAGATAGGGAGATATTGTTTTAGAAAATAAGGAGTTTGAATTAGTGATGGTATCAGACATTCCTTTGGTATTAAAATTCTACAGTTATTAATAATAAATAGTAGTTTACAAAACATGCTTACTTACATAAATTCTTTGAACCACAAAGCAAACCTATAAGGACGGGTGGCATTTCTATCCTACATATAGAGAAATTAAGACTTACAGGGGATAAATATCATGACCAGAATTATACAGCTAACAGGTGGGATGAGGGTTTGATTTGAATTCAGGACTTTGGGCTTCAAAGCCCTCTTCCATAATCTGTAGCAGAGAGCAATTATTGGTGTTTTTTCCACTTTTACTTAGAGTAATCCATAAACTTCTTGGGATACTTAGTACTTGGTATGCAACCTTGAGGATCCAGCAGGGTTGTGATAGGAGGAACTGTGAAAAACAGAATTCTAGTTTTAGGAAGCAGGAGGAGCAGACTCCATGCATTTGAGAGATGACTGGTTGTTGAGCAGGAGAGAGGACCTTGGGAAGACAGAGGGGCTTAGCGTTCTACACTGGGATGTTAAGATCTTATTGGGTCATGAGTGGTTTACATGTATTTATGCTTCGTGCTTTTCAAACCACATTTTTGTCATTTACACTGTCCTTCTAGTGATCCTTGCAGGTAGAATTCTGGAGAGTCTTAGGCTGGGTTCAAGTGGCCCAGAGAGACAGTGCTCTCTGTTTGTGCCTTGCTAGGAGTGGAGAGGTCACAGGCAGCCTTGGAGCATGAGTGAGGCCCAAGCAAAGTGGTGCTTTAAGAAGCTTACCTGGTGGTCTTGTGCAGGATGTTCCCAGCCCATCCCCCTTGCTCTGGTACTGGCCACACTCTCCAGGTCTCCAGCCTAGAGTTGTGCCCTGCCTGCAGTCTGCTTCCTCATGTCCATCGCAGTCTGATCTCCTCGGAGCAGCTGGAGTGAGCCTTTAAACTATATCTGGGCCTGTCATTTCACCTTTTCAAACTCTCCAGGGGTTGCTTGATGCAATTAGAATAAAACCCAAGTGCCAGTGAGGCCCAGTGGGGCCTGGCCCTGGCCTTATTTGTGGTTTCTCTCACTCTACCTCTGCTCCTCCCCCTGGAAAGCTCTGACTTTCCTGGCCTTCGGCCACATTAGCCTTCTTTCCATTCCTCTAAAGCTCCAGGACTTTGTTTCTGCTTCAGGACTTTGTACTTGCTGCCCCTCTTCCTGAAATACTTGAACTCCATGGCTGGTTCCTTTTAGTCACCTTGGGTTCGTTGCCACCCTCCTCAAGAGAGACCTTCACTGGCTCTTCGCTGAAATGTCATTGAGTCTAATCCCCAGGAGCTCTGCTCCATTGCCCTGGTTGTTTTTAACAGTTTTCACTAGCCGACACTTGCCTGGTTTCTGCTCAGTCTGTCCCACTAGAATGCAAGCTTTGTTAGAGTGAAGCCTTTCTCTGTCCTGTTTACTGCTGCATTCCCCAGTGCCTAGTGCAATCCCTAGCACGGGCCAGTTACTTGATAAATACTTACTGAGTGAATGGTTTGATGGGTGGGGAAGGACTTTTTGGCAAGCAAGACCAGGTAGGAAGGGACCATAGCAATCTAGGTGCGTTATTGGCTAATACGCTGAAGCGAGGGTGGGCAGAGGGGTGAGGGAGGAATGGTGAGCTGGAGCTGTGCTGTGGAAATGGACAGGTCCAGAGGTTACATCCCTCATCTCAGGGAAAGAGCAAGAGTAAAGCTGTGAGAAGTTTGAGGTGGTGTGGAGATGGGAAGGTATGAATTTGTGTCCAGCTCCATCATCACTTGAATTGCTCAAAAGTTTAGGATTGGAGAACACAGAGGCTGGGATGCCCCAGGGTTACAAATGTTTCTGTTCATCAGCATACAACAACAGTGAAGAGAATGTTTTTACCTAACAAGTCATAATTACTCATTGTGTCCTAGAACCCTCTGAGAGGTTATAAAATACATTCTAATTTTAAAGCATCTCTAATCCCAATTCAGTTGATAAGCCAGACATTTACTGTTGGCCTTAAGATGAGGGTAGCTTACAGCTACATGTAGCTCGTGTGAGAAATGTTCTTACTTATTTTGATCTTGGTTTCTGTTTAAAAATTTCCTTTCTTCCATTAGATGGTTATGGAACAAGGAGATTGGCTGATTGGAGGAGATCTTCAAGTCTTGGACCGAATTTACTGGAATGATGGTCTTGATCAGTATCGTTTCACTCCTACTGAGCTAAAGCAGAAGTTTAAAGATATGAATGCTGGTAAGACATGGATCTCATTATCTAACACGGGACTATATGGAGTCTCTGCTTGATGGGAAAGTTCTAGAATTTTTCCATTGCTTACTAAAGTATAAAAGAACATCGAATAAAGATAAATGCAGGATGGAGTATGTTGAAGTGGTAGTTGATCTAAACCCACCTGGGTAGTTTGGTTATATGGGTACAATTTGATCGAACACTTTGTATACTGTGTGGGAGATGGTTGCCAATATAAATTGACCTTTTATTTGTGTATTATAAAACTCACATGCCAAAGCTGAGTAGAACTATGGAAGAGAAATTATTTGAGTAATTCACTCACATCAGTGTGCTTTATATTTCCGAATATTTTTTTTTTTTTAAAGATTTATTTATTTATTTGACAGAGACAGAGAAAGAGGAAACACAAGCAGGGGGAAGTGGGAGAGGGAGAAGCAGGCTTCCTTCTGAGCAGGGAGCCCAGTGTAGGCCTTGATCTCAGGACCCTGGGATCATGACCTGAGCCACCCAGGTGCTCTTTTTCTGAATATCTTATGAGTCTAACATATCACTGCAGAAAATAATAGAACAACAATATCATGTTGGCTATTCATTCAACAAATGTTTGGTGTACATCTTTATACCAGAGTGCCAGGTGCTGGGGATCCATAAATAAATAAGACAGGAGCCTATTGTGTAGAAGACAAGGACAGTAAACAGATAACAGGGAAGGTTGTCAAAGAGTGGTTTAGTAGTGGTTTCCGATTTCTGGATTAACATGAAATGGAGTAGTATGAGTAGAGTCTGTAGATGCTATTCTTTATACTGTAGGACAGGGATTTTTATGCCTGACAGCTTGCGATCTGCAGGTCTTCACACAGAGGTATGTGAGTAACGTGTTTATACTGGTACAACCACATACCCAAATCCAAGCTTCCATGTCAGGGACTGGCATTCATTATAGAGCTTGGGATCTGAAGAATTTGAAAGACCCGTTACAGAAGTAGTTAAGCCCTAAGCCTTGGTGTCGCCTTTTAAAAATACTTTCTGTGTAGAAAGAGAGTGTGCAGGGCTGAGAAAAGTTAATGTGGTGGCTTTTTAAGGAGCTAACCCAGCCTAGCTAACCCAGCCATATTGGTTAACCAGAAGCCTTCCGAGTGACTATGGAAGCTGGGCAAGAGCACTCATTTCAGGAGTTGTGTCTAGCTTCTGTGGACTCCAGAGTCTGGTGCACACACTGTCCCCTGCTTTAATACCAAGAAGTCATGTGCTTGTGGAGAAATTAATTTTTTCTCCAAGTCTCACTTCCTTCAGTTGTAGAAATAAGGGCAGTAATAGTACTTAATTCATAACATTTTATTTCAAAAAGCAAAATGAGGGGCGCCTGGGTGCTTCAGTCGGCTAAGCATCTGACTCTTGATTTTGGCTCAGGTCCCGATCTCAGGGTTGTGAGGTTGAGCCCCACGTAGGGCTTTGTGCTGAGCGCGGAGCCTGCTTAGGATTCTCTCTCTCCTCTCTCTGCTCCTCCCACAAAAAAAGGCAAAAAAGTGAAATGAGATCAGTTGCGTAAGGCACTGTGGTCTCTGGCCCATAGTAAGAGGTTAATGTGTCATAATTTCTGAGTCCAAAGGGAGTCTCACCTGTATTTTTGTAAAGGTTAAAGAAAGAATATCTGTTTATTCTTTAACTCTATTGTACTTTGCAGGTATTTGAAATAAGAGCTTAAAATAGATCAGGAACTGGAGACCACACACTGTTCAGAGTTGTGCAGCTCCCACTCAGCCCGCCTCATTGATTCACAGTTTCTGCTTGGCCCCTGTATGTCCTCTGAGCACAGGACCCCTACCCCACTCCTCTACACCTCCCCACCCCCTGGCCCTGGGGCCTCCTTAACTTCACTATCTCTGAATTTGAAGCTACTATGCAGGAGTTTCTCTGAATGGTGCACTTGGTGCCCGCCTACACTATAGTGTTTTCTTCTTTTTTGCTAACGTGTTTTGGGCCCAGTCACAGGGGAATATATCGTGATTGCTTTAAGTCAGTAAGAGTACCTCATTCTCTTGTCAATGATTTAAGGGTCCTTGTATAAGTTTGTTCTGGCCATTGAGATGTAAGAGAGAAGGGTTTCCAGAAAAGGGTTTTCTTCTTTTCTTTTTAAGATTTGATGAGAGTGTGCGCACGTGCGTGAGTCGTGGGGAGGGGCAGAGGGAGAAGATGGCTTCCCGCTGAGCCGGGAGCCGGATGCAGGGCTGGATCCCAGCACCCTGGGATCATGACCTGAGCCACCGAAGGCAGATGCTTAACCACTGAGCCACTCAGGTGCCCCAGGGGTTTTCTTTTTGACAAGAAAGTGGCTTAGGACAAAAAGTCGTCTTTTCCTAACCCTCTTCTTTCTGCTTCAGATGCTGTCGGGGAAGGGTACAGCGTTTGGAGCTTGGGTAACTATTTCGTGTCTGTGAGAATCCATGAGAATCTTAAACTGGTTGAGTTTCTGAGTCCTAGAGTCCTCTAGTTCCAGATTTCTTACTCAAATACTTAATGTATGTTTGAACTATTTAAGACACTTCTAGTTGGATCTTATTTCATTTGCAACCAGAATTATCTGATAGTTTAGTACATACAGGCTTTTTCCTTTTTTTCTTTTTTTTCTGGTGAACAAGAACATGTTTAATGGAAGATGTGCTGAGACCACCTCATTTACTTTAATTTTTTGCCAAAATTTAAATTCATAACTAATTCATGTTCGTAAATTAATTGTTGGCACTGGTGAGGGGTCTTATCAAGGAGTTATTCATAATTGGAATCTTTAATATTACATCTGTTTTTCACTCTTCTTTGGGAGCCAAACATTTTAAGTCCTTTAGAGAATTTGTTGCATAATGAGTGATTGCAACTTTGTTTAAAGTAGCTGAGAGCCAGTTATCCTTACATCAGACAACAAAGATTGTGCAGTATTATTTTGTTTACTTTTCCATTTTAGACTAAGACAAATAAGCAACAGACCCAGGAGTTTCCTTTGTAGTTCTTGTTCTCTCTTTTAGGAGGGCCATTAACAAGTCCTCTCTTGGCGTGTGTCTCGTACATAGTGCAAGGAGAGAAAACAGAATCTTTATTTTCTCTTTTACCCAGGGTTTCTTTTCCTACCTCTTCCACTTTCTCCTCCTCTCATCTTTGTAGAAGAATTTTGATGATTGGATGTGGGCTGTTGTCTTGTGTTCATTACTGGTATGATGGCATTTGCTGTCCTGAGCCGGTTCTGTAGCTGGAAGGATGGAGTGGTCTTTAATAGCTCCATCAGTGATTGCAAGGTGACACTGTTCCAGAGAGCAGGTTCTTTCAATCACTGGTGGTTTACCACTGTCTTAGAAAGAAGAATGGATTTCACTTAAGCCAAGTAAGAGCCAGTTAGTATTTATTACACACAGAATATTGCTTTCTTGCTGGACTACCAAGGTAAAGTTGACATAACTTCTTTCAGGCTAGTACCGGTATCATAGTGTTAAAGAAATCTGAGAAAGCTTTGTTCATCTTACAAACACATTTTTAAATTAAATTAAATTTATTTTTTAAAGATTTTATTTATTTGACAGAGCACAAACAAGGGGAATGGCAGGCAGAGGGAGAAGCAGGCTTCCTGCTGGGCAGGAAGCCAACATGGGGCTTGATCCCAAGACCTTGGGTTCATGACCTGAGCCGAAGGCAGACACTTAACTGACTGAGCCACCCAGGCACCCCTAGACTGTTACTCTTATTACCCAAGGTATCGCAGCAATAAATTGTTTTACATTCTTGAGCTTAGAAATGCTTTCAAATTGTAGTAAAAAAGTATTGAATATAAAGCTTTTTGTCAGCTGGGCTCTGTCCTTGCTTATTCTTTCCCCTTCCTGTCTGTTCTGTCTTGTGTCTGTGTGTTAGGGTTTAGGGGAGGTAATGGAGGGGAGCTGTATCCTGCTTCCATCATGTGGGAAACATTAGCAGGTAATCAAAGAATACAGAAAGTTGGGGGGAGCTCCTGCCCCATAGCATCCTGCTTCAGCACTGTGATCTGGCCATGCCTCCATCCCCTACAACCAGCTTCCAGTCACCGCCTCTCCTCACAGCTTTAGAAACATTGTCTCCTTCCAGTGCCCCTCAGGAGTGCTAACAGGATGCAGAGCTGCTAGTCTCTAGAGGTCTCATCAGTCCTTCCGGGTTCCCTTAACCTTGACCACCGTTCTTCAAATACTCGCTTTGTTGAATTATGTTGAGAGCCTCATCTGAATGTGCCTTGATCAGACTAATAGAGGCTCCCTACACTTTGGATTACAGTATCTCCAGCTCACTGCCATTATGGTCAAGAAAGTCTAATGCGGGGCACCTGGGTGGCTCAGTTGGTAGTGTCTGCCTTCGGCTTGGGTTATGATCCCAGGGTCTTGGGATTGAGCCCCACGTCGGGCTCCCGCCTCTGTGGGAAGTCTGCTTCTCCCTCTCTGACTCCCCCTGCTTGTGTTCCCTCTCTCATTTTTTCTCTCTCTGTGAAATAAATAAAAATCCTTAAAAAAAAGGAGTCTAATGCCTTCAGAGACTATCTGCTTCTGCCTTAGACTTCTCATGAATCATTCCCAGCTTTACCTAAAATATCCTTCTAATGTCTCCATCCATTCATTAAAGTGTAGTTTGTAGGGATGCTTGGGTGGCTCAGTTGGTTAAGTGTCTGACTCTTGATTTTGGCTCAGGTCATGATCTCAGGGTTGTGACAGTGAGCCCTGTGTTGGGCTCCATGCTCAGTGGGGAGTCTGCTTGAGAGTCTCTCTCCCTCTCCCTATGCCCTACCCCCTCCTCGCATGTGTGTATGTTCTCTCTCTCTAATAAATAAAATCTTGGGGAAAAAAAAAGGAGTTCCAGTTCATGAAAAATGCTAATTAGTATTGTAAGTAGAAAGGCAAATATTTAAGTGACCTGTCTTATTTTTTCCTCCCCTCATAAGCAGTTTAAGTAAAAGAAAGCCAGTAATTTAGGACAGTCCAGAGGAAGGAGGGGAA